AAGAAAAAGGAAGAGAAGGCAGAAAAAGCCAGTCCTGTTTAAAAAGTAAACTGCATTTAAAGTCCAGTCAAGCTTCCAACAGTAAAAAAAAAAAAAAAAGGGGGGGGGGGCTTCAATTTGACTATGCCTTAAATTCGCCACTTACTCACATCAGTCTTAAATTTAATTTAAGTCTCCTCATTAGGGTGATCTCAGGGGGGAAAAAGTAAAAGGCTCTCACCAAAACAGCACGCTTCTCTCCTGTTCTTGTGTTGCGGAGCTGTCAGTAGTTTCAACAGCCTTATGGCTGCCTTGCAGCCGCCGGCAAAAAGGGCTTCTCCCCGGATTGCCAGAGACTTTGTTGGTGTCTCCGGGATCGACAGGGTGTGCCCCTTCCTGTCACCGTCTCTAAGGGACAGTTTAGGTCCAGGATGGACCATCCAGTGACCAGAATTCAGCGGCAATCTTGGAGCTCCAAGATTGTCCATCGTTTCACCGCAACGTCAAGATCCTCCAGGGAGTCAAGTTTTGTTTCTGTGCAGGGGATGAAAGCAAATGGAGCCCTTGCAACAGTTGGTGACATATACCCACAGCCCTCATTTAACAAACATAATTGGGGCAGGCAACTTGGTTCTTAAGCAAATTGGTCACTAAGTAGAACAGCTACTTTGTTTATACAATTACTTCAGCTTCTTGTTTAAAAACCTGCAATGGTTGTAAATGGGAGGAGTAGTCACAAGTTTCTCAGTGGAACTGTGTACTGTCACTAAATGAGGACTAGCCGTCACCACTGAGAAGAAAAGAGCAAAATTAGGCGGGGAGGTTTGGTGTATTTGACTACTTTTTTCCCCTTTTAACCTGCTGTCCTCACAAAACTCATTTAAGTCTGCAGAACCCAGCCTGGGGTTTCTCTCCCCCCCCCTCTCATTTAAGCTCAGTATCCTTCACTGTCTGTGCATCTTTCTCAAAAGATATCAAGTCAAACCGCATTTTTACTGTGTGCTATTCTGCAATTCAATCCTCTTAGTAATTTGCTGCTCTATTTAATTTCATAGCAAGTTTTTAATAACTGCAAAGACAAAAGGGGAGGGTTATGGTTGAGCTGCTGGTTTTTATTGGGTATACATCCAAAGGTTTTTGTCTCCTTGTTTTTTAAAATTATATTAATATTTTTATTTTGATCTTTATAAAGATAAAATGTATTATCTGAAAAAGCAATAGGGCTCAAGTAGCTTATATGCAGATAATCTAACATTATAGTATATCAATTAACCATCAATATCAATCTTTGAATATCAATTACAAGCAGGTTTTTTGTGTGTGTTCAGGATTTCATTTCATCTGTTTTCAATTAAGAATGGCAGTAGTTTTCTAAAAGCGAATGATAATTGTTTTTTCTGCTGCTATACTGAGAACAAAATATTTTAGAATTTGAAATGAAGAGAAGTGCATGGGAACTTTATTCTTTCAATAGCTTTTATTCCAAAGAGATAACTGCATCTTTAACATGGAAATAAAAGAGCAGTTTGGGACAAACTTTTTGAAAAGTATCTTGAGGCAAGGGAGTATAATGTACTGTTTCCCCGAAAATAGGACAGGATCTTATTTTCTTTTCACCCCCCAAATTAAGCATTTGGCCTTATTTTCAGGGAGGTCTTATTATTTTTGAGGTGCAGGAGGTGGTGAGCATGATCACCTCATAGTTGCTGCTGTGTTGCAATATTTTCAGGGAGGGCTTATTTTAGCCATTGCGTTCAAAAGCCTAATTGGCTTATTATCCGGGGAGGTCTTATTTTCAGGGAAACGGGGTAATAATAAATAATGTAAATATGTATATATCTTTTTGAATTTTTGTCAAAGACCATGAATTGCTTTAATCAACCATACCACTAGTGGATTGAAAAACTGAAGACTGAATTAAAGGTAGACCTTATCCTGTGACCACTTGTTCAGTGGCCAAAGTTCTAACAACGTTGAATGAACAGTGGTTGTGACCATTCCTTGGAATTCCATCCATTTCAGCAGCCCTCTTGTCATGTGATCACAATCTGGGTGCTTGGCAACCACTTCTCACTTTTGATTGTTTGCAGCATTACGTGATCGGCATTCGCAACCTGCCTTACTGGCTTCCCCACAAAGTCATTGACGAAGCCAGCAGAGAAGATCACAAATTGCTGAAGTCTTCCCATATTCATTCACCTGCCCCCGACACTCAAGTTGCATCAGCCACCCACATATCCCCGCACTCTCTCCTAAAGCCTCACCATGCCTTATACCCATGCTGCACTCTGGCACACACCCCTTCACATCCTCCCCAACCCACACTGCTATTTGTGCACCCTCCTCAATCCTCTTGCTTACCCTCTTCTGTATCCCCTTGCTGCTCCCTAATCTGGGAGAAACCACTTATCTGCCTGCCAGCCTGTAATTTGCAACTTCCTGTCGCCTTCTCCACTGACTGTGGGAAGCTGGTAGAAAGTTGCCTTGCGTAACATCTGGGATTCCCATTAATGATGCAACTGGGACTGCAGGAATTGCCATCACTACACAGGCAGCCCCACTTTATATCTGCTTCAGTTAGCAACAGAAATTCCTGTCCTGATTCCTAAGTCAAGAACTACCTATTGATTGTACCAATAATCTATAGTGTTCGATATAGCAAGATAACAGTAATAATATGCAAATAATAACATGTAACCTCAGAATTTCCCTGTTTCTAAAGTTATAGTTGATAGTAAATGAAATAGCATGGACGAGAGGAAACAGGGAACAGGGTTCTCACTTTCAACCAGGAAACATAGGAAACATTGATTCTCCTTCCCCAACACATCCTCAAATCTACTTCAGCTGGCTAGAGAGACAGGGAAAGTAGCTCTTTCTGTACAGAGAATCTCTTACATGAGGTTGAATGTAATCTTTAATCACATTATATAGGGCAAAATATGGTGTAAGAAGAATCTGGCAGAGCCATGGTGACGCAGTGGTTAGAGTACAGTACTGCAGGCTATTTCAGCTGACTGCCAGCTGCCTGCAATTTGGCAGTTCAAAGGTCACCAGGCTCAAAGTTGACTCAGCCTTCCGTCCTTCTGAGGTCGTTAAAATGAGGACCCTGATTGTTGGGGGCAATAGGCCAACTCTAAAGTAGTTAGAGAGGGCTGTAAAAAGCACTGTGAAGCAGTATATAAATTCAAATGTTTTTGCTATTGCTGTTTGTTTACAGTAGTAACCCGTTAAATTTCTTATATTATAGGCAACTGGCAGACTTGATCACCGGCTTGCTTTACTTAAAAGTCGTCGTTTGCATCTAGAAAAGAAAAAAGAAGAGGAAACTAAAAGTTTTGAGGACAACACAAATTGGTTGCATAGATTGGAGAATGAAATGCGCCTCCTGGGTCAAGATGGGCAGATTCCTCCAGTAAGCTGCTTCTTTACTTTCATTGATTGTGTCTCAGCAGTAAGTTATTTATAGAATGTAGAGGCTGCCAACTCCATACATAGTGACTTATACATATATAATAATAAGTCTGAAACACCTTCAGCATCACCAAAATACTCATATCAAGAAGGACATCATAACATCAATATTAAATTATAAATAACATTTCTGTACCTATCAAAAATAACAGTATAAAATAACTATTAACAATGTTAAGAGCAGGTGGTTGTAATATTAACCAAACTTATCTGATCTTTATCCTGCACTGCATATATTTTTCAAGGGGAGAAAATCAACCTCTTATGACCATAGAATGCAAGCATTTTTCCACCCATAAATTGGATGTAAACCATAAACAATCTTAGGCTTCCATGACTGACTCTAATCACAGCTGTATTTACTAATCCTGAAGATTCTTGCAATGCTAAGTTACAGAGACAAGTTTACTGTCAGAATTTAATGATATTTTTTGGCTATACTACAGAGTAACCCTCTGCTTATAATACATATGGGTTTCAATATTAATTCTCCAATAACATCCTGCAAAAGGGCAGGCGGTAGGATACGATGACATCTTCCAACTGTATACTGTATTTTTTTTAATTCTAAGTGATTTTATTTTATTTTTTAATTTTTAAAAAGTCTATTATATGAATCACTAATTAGTGAGGGACAAGAAAAGTCAGAGCATTGGAACAAATCCCATTGATAAGCAGATTGAAGTAATGCTGGTGTTTTGGATAAGGCATTCTTGAACATGGATACTTGGCTGTAGATTATGAGTATTTATTACATTTGACATAATGAAATAAGCTTCCAATGGGGTCAAATTAATGAAATTTGCAATTTGCAATCCATTCTGTATTAACCAAAGTTTAGCCATTATGACTTTTTATTTATCATGTTAGACTAAACCTCCCCCTCTGTGCCTATATACCCGCAGGCAAAGCTACATCACTGATTCATGTATTGAGCTTATCCTTATTTTTTGTAACATTTGAATAGAATCTGAATGTTTCCTCTTGAAATAGCCGTCAAAGTAAGGAACTCCTGGGTTCATGATTGGAAAGCAATGCACTTTGAATGTAAGAATTCTCTCTGCATTCTTCTCTACATGCCAGTGACTCTTTTCCATGAAAGTCCAATGCATTTGACTTCTAACAGTGTCTATTTAGAAATAACAAAATATGCAAACTTTGGGTGGGTGCATGGGCAGTACACAGAAATGTACTGCTTAATTGAAGATAAAATGGTGTTTCTTATATACTGGTCTATAATTCAAGAGTTTGGTTTTGAAAATAAATCTGAAAGAAAACAAATAGGAGAGCAATATAAGTTATTGAAAATAAGGCAAGATCTTTTGAGTCAAAATTACTAGAATCTGATTTTCAATATGGCACTGAATATTTCACCGGTTATTTAAAACAGCTGTTTTGGTTAACTTTGACTTATGCTTTTGGAGATACTCAGTATTGCGTGTGTGTGCGCGCATACGTGCTTGTGATGCAATAAAAACAATGAGCATTCAATAAAATACTGTTTTGTTTAACCATTTGAAAAGTTTGCATTAGAATAGTTTT